CCCCAAAACCCCAAAACCCCAAAACCCCACAGTAAATAAAATAACTACTATGCTTGGAATAAGGATAAGTTTTAGAGAAAATAATAAAAGTTATAATAATTTTTAAGAGCCTTAAATATTAAATATGAGGTAACATCTAATGAATGAAGCATCCAATATCATTAACCCAGTGATGGATGCAGGCAAACTTAGAACAATCACATCGGGCTACAAGAGACACTCAATCAGGAGATTGATTAGGCCCCTAGGTATGGATTCAGCTACTTTTAAGAGAGGCATGGATCTAAGTGGTGGAGTAAGAAAGAACGTCTCTGACTATTTCTTTATCTACACTCGACAGGTTCTACCTAAAATTGAAGATAGAATAGAACTTCAACTTTTGGAGAAATTTAAGGAAAGAATTGGGAATAATATGGAAAGAAAGGAAGTAACTCAAGCTTATCTCAACAGAAAAGATAATCTAGCAAAGTCAGAAGACAATATCGATATGAATCCCCCTGAAAAGCCTAAAGTACTCCCTATTAATCTTACTGCGGATGTTAGAAGATCTATTGCATCAGTTGAGGGAAATGGTCTTTCTCATCACACATTTGAAGATATAGGTAGATATGTACTTTTTCCTCCAGCTCATCAAAAGCGTATGTTCCCAGGAGCATTCTTCGGTAACTACTAAAAAGATGAGTTTTATAGAACAAATCATTTTGGAGTGATGGTAAGAGAGGAGGGATTGAGAATCACTAATGATTTTTCAAGACTAACACTTCCTCACGAGAGGAAAATTGACTATGAATAAATTCTTTAATGTCAAAACTCTGAGGTCAATGAAGAGGTGATAAAGGATGAATAGAAATTCGTTGCTATTTAATAAGACTTTAGCTTAGAACTCATAGAATATATAAATGCTAAGTAAGGTGAGGAGAAATTTTCATACTAAAAATTGTTCCAATCTCCAGCAGTATTTGATTCGTTCGTCTCTATTCTTATAAAGGAATTGAAGAAGAAGCCAATCAGATATCATCTCTGTGTAAAGGAAGCAAGAATTAAAGTTATTGATCAACTAGCTAAAGCTCTTCACTAGATAATGATTGAAAAGCAACTGAATCCTCAAAATATGACAGAGATTATAGACAATGTCAAATTAGTGACACTTGACTTAAATAGAGCTGATCTTGGAAAGTATCATGAATTGCAGGTCAATGAAGTGCATTAATACAAGCTATACTTGAGTGGATATCACAAGATTTGCTATCAACAGTGGAGACCAGAAGATATGAGAAGAGTTTCATTTGAGAAATTCAAGGGAAACAACTCTGGTTGTCTACTTTGGGGGCCAAGAGGGGTTGGTAAGTCGCAGATTTTAAGTTACGCCACTGCATGGGCTCATGAAAACAAATGGATGGTTATTACTGTCCCTAGATGCGAAATGTTCACTGATGGAACAGATGAAATTTTCAGGGCTGAAAATGGTATGTATCTTTAAAAAAACTTGGCCAAAAATTACCTTTACAACTTTAGAAAGTCAAATGAACTTCTTTTGAGAACAATAGATGTTGATATGTCGCTTTATGGTAAGATCGACATGACTGGCTTAAAAGATGGTGACCCTGAGCCTTTCCCAAGAGTTTGGAATGAAGAGAGATAATAATGGTCAGATGATTGGAAGGAATTCCTCTATGATGCTGAAATTAAAATTCTGTAGCAAGAATATGAAGACTTGAGATATAGATGTGCAGACAGACTCCCAGATCCAAAGAAACTTATTGATATTGCTGATTTCGGAATTTAAAATCCAGAATTAGCAACCAATTGCTTTAGAGAAATTCTGGAATAAATTTATCACACTGATAAATTCCACACATTAATTGCTCTAGACGGCTATAATGACTGGTTTAAGCCTTCAGATTACTAGTCTTTTAGATATGATAACTCACCCATTTTGAAAGGTCGTATTCCACCTCAAGACTTCTCTTTAGTTAGAATGCTAATGAAATTTGATGGACATATGATAAGAAACGGAGTAAAGATTGCTACTACAACTCACTACAGATAGTTTAGACATTTATGCACTCCAGAGATGATAAATCTCTAACCAACATATGCAGCTAAAGTTGAAAATTTAGCACTTAATGATTTCAGAATGATGTTGAACTACTATCATTTTACTAAATGGATGGATGATATCTATCAAGAACACGAAGTTGAATCACTTTATATGGAGACGTAGGGTAACTGGACTGCTTTTCATGAAACTTATAATAGATATCAAAGACTTCACTATTGATCTTTCAAGGAAATAGAAGATGTCTTTGGCAAAGCTATTTGCAATAATTTAACTCTTACTTTAATAATTAAGTATATACCGACTTTAATTTTTATATCCATATTAAAGCTAAAATTTATTGTAAAATGTCTGCCTATCAAGATCTCTCACCAACTTCAAAAGCCGCTGTAGATACCAAATTAAAAAATCTTCATGAAATAATTGCTAAGAAAAAAGGAAGTTTGCACAATGAGGACGAAGAAATGCTCGTTGTCAAGAATGCTTTTAAGGAAATTCCAGTTTTTAGGGATATACCAAATTAATTCAAAGTTGAGGTAAGTCAATGGGAAAATTTCAAGTCTGATAATTTCATTCCATATTTTGAAACTCATAATTATTTAACTAGTTAGCAAATTCATTGGAGGCCTTGAAATTCAAGACTCATGATATAGTCTTTGATTAAAGAGAAAACTAGTTCGTATTTATACTACTGCAAGGAGAAGCACTGATTGTTCAAAGTGAGAAATAACTTAGTATTGTAAGTATTTCCATTATTCTGATTTTCTTACTTTTTTACTTTGATTCAACACTTTCTTACTTATGAATTCTATAGCTGCAAAAAACAAATTTTAATGCTATTAATACTGAGATAGCTTAGTAAAGTACAGGAGATACGTTTGAAGACCATTTAGAACTAAATCAAATTAGAGTTAGAAAATAGACCATAGTTGCTTAAAGACCCTTATTGATAAATCAAGGAAAAAAGCTATCTGAGGAATTACAAAAAAATTTAGTGCCTCCGAATAATGATTCAAATTAAGCAAACTCAGGCGATCCCTAAACCCCATCTTGGAAAAAGAATGAAGACGTAAAATAGATATAAATTGGGGACTGCTTCGGCCAGTACTATAGCTTAACTGGGAGTAAATGGAGACCTTCTTTTGTTTTAGTCATAAAAGATGAAACAATGATTTTAAGAGCTCCAGTTACAAAGATTGACTAAATACTGAATGTAATTATACCCACATTTTAAATCCTTTGTAGAAAATAAATTCTTCAGAATAGCACAAGCAGCTACTTTCATTTTTAGCTGATACAATTTTTGGATTTGATAAAATCTCAGCTGCTGCTAAGGATAAGATAGCTAGATGTTTTAATGAAAAACAATTCTATCCGGGTTAAAAACTTATCAGAGAGGGGGACATTCATAACACAGCATATATTATAAAAGAGGGGGATTGTGTTTTAATGTCTAATTAAAATCCATCTGATATCAGATTCAATGAGGAAGGTAAGCCTGTACCAAAAATTTTGAAGGGCTTAGCTACTCTTAAACAAGATCAAAAGAAGAAGGGATATATGTCTAAAACTACCAATACGTTTTAATTTGGTGTTAAAGGGAAAGGGTAATGGGTTGGAGAAGATATCCTCATTTTAAATGGTTAAGATCATCCCTTTTATTTTAGCGTTGTTGCAGTAGGAAGAGTTAACGTCTTAGAAATTTCCAGACTAGATATGGTAACTAAGTTACCTCAATAATTTGTAAAGTATCTTGAAAAGAGTTCACTCAAACGCAAGGATTTCGTTTTGTAAAGAATGAGAAATATAAATCAAACTATCAAAGTTGTCATTAAGTAAGGAGAAGAAAAAGCTATCCTAAATGAGGAAGATGTTAAAAATCATATCAAAGTTTAAAATCAAACAGTGAACTAGAAGCTTAGATCACTGACCCAGGATAACTATAAGTAATCAGTAATGATAAAAAAGACTATTGATTTGGACTTCAATAACATTAGTATGCAATAATAGAATGAAAGTTCATTTAGACTACCAGTGATATCCAATCCAAGAGATGTAACATTATTGAAATCAATAAGTAGGAAAGGACCTAATCATACTATTTCTGCTGAGGATGATATAGTAAACATTCAATCTCAGAGTTAGATAGCTTATAAGACTAGTGATAATAGAGGTCCATCTCCAATCCTGAGTAGAAAAGCTGGAAATATGAATTAGAATGATATAAAGAAACATTATATGTCTCAGATAAATCATGCCATTGAGAAAAAGAATATTGACAGATACAATCAAGACTATCTGATTTAAATTAGGAAGGATTCACAGTCAGAAACCTTGACAAAGAAAAGTTTGAATCTAAGTTCGATTTCTTAGGTCAGATAAAGCTAGTAATTCAATATGAACTCAAGATCAATTGTTAACTAGTCATAAGCAGAATTATCAGATATAATGGAAAGGAATGATAGTGTTTTTGGAATAAGAAGTAATAATGACTCATTTCAAGATAAAAGACAGAGAAAAATAGCTTTAATGAATGCCTAAACATTAAAACCCTACCTCCATCTGAAGAAACAAAGGGACCTTGTTCCCATATTTTATTAAAAAGATCCTTAAAAGACCAGAAACTTTATTGCCAACAGCATTTAAATGATGAAGCTAAATGGAGAAGTAGATATAGATTAAATAAACTTACTTTAGCAGCAACTCTAATAATAATAACAACCTGAAATAATGAATTCAAATGAACTTAGAAGTATGGTCAATTTCCATGATGAAATTCAATCTGTCCAGAAATTTAGTATGATAAATGGGGAAGAATCATTAGAATATAAAACTATATCAATTGTTCCAAAGGAAACTTAAAAATTATCAGAGGAGTATCATTCTGTTAATTAAAAACAATCATTGGTTCCCTCAACTTATCAATTCAGTATTAATAATCAAAGTTAGCAGAGTATAGAAAGTATATCACCAATAATTAAGGTGAAAGGCAAATCATTCAAAGATATTGACACTAGATTGCAAAAAGAGGCCAAGGAGAAATATGGTTCATTTATGGTTGGCAACACACTGATCAATGAGCTTGATAAGTCAAAGATCAGCCTTAGTAAATTTAGAGCTTCTAATGAATACAACAGCAACCACATCAATTCAATCAAAATTAACTATCAATCACCTGGTAATTAGTCATACCTTCCTTATTAATAGTCTACACAGTCTAACTATTCTCAGTATGGGATAAATATTACTAGATAAGACTCTTAGGGTAGACAAGAAACTCCTAACCCATATGAAGAATACAAAAAAAGAGAGATCAGAAAATCTCAGATGCTAAAGATGAGAGAGTAGCAATGTGATGGTAGAGATGATGCTGGAGTCAGGTCAGCTCTCTCCTATTTTAATTATGACATATGATTGACTATGATTCAAAATTATTAATCCGGAATATTAAAGAACTATATCATTCCAAGCAAACACTCACAGATTTTACTTAAAATATTTTCCTATTTACTTATTAAAATTTAAGTTTCATAATTTAGTTTGTAAACTTTATAGAGGGGTTTTGGGGTTTTGGGGTTTTGGGG